TCGTCTGTACATGTGGCGTTGCTCTAACACCTGACGGAGTGTGAAGATGGGTTCAACGCAGCCTCTACCCGGTCGAAATCCCGCTTGATTCTCACGAGTCAAGACTTCGCGTGCCGCCATGAGAAGACGAAAAATCAATGATGCCAGAAGCCTTGTCACAACAGGCGTCAAGCTAACGCCTCTGTGGCTGCTACAATCACTGCGAGTACCCTTTACGAAAATGGGTACCACTATCGATTCACCCCAGTTGTCTGGGACGGTCTCCTTCCCCCAGATAAACCCAAATAGGCTAGACAGGCACTGGCTGAGGAATCCACCGCTATCCTTGAAAAGAGCAGGTGGAAGGTCATCAGGACCAGCAGCACGATGACGCTTGAGTAGAGAAATGCATTCGGACGCTTCTGAGATTGTAGGCGGCTCCATATTTACGGTCCACCTTTCTGTTGAAGGCCGGGTTTCTGGATTGGAGGTAGCAGGTGGCCAGCTGAATTGCTGTTCGAAGTACTGTGCCCAGCGATCCAAACGTTCTGCTTTGCTGTCAGGCAGGGAGCCATTTTGGTCCCTGATTGTTTCACTGACAAGAGGTTTCCGAGGACCAGTCGAACGAATCAAGTGAGTGTCGCCACCCAGAAGTCCGAGGACCAGTCGAACGAATCAAGTGAGTGTCGCGGGACACCCAGAAGATATCGACTTATGCTGCTACAGGGAATTCTTTCCACTACGCTACCTAATAGGCTCGTTGGACCTACTGGGCAGTGGCTTCGTTTCCCTGTAAGGATCACCACTCTTGATGATAAGGACAACGGCGGCCCTCTTTCAATCCTTGGGCAAAGTGCCTTCTTCCAGAGATTATTTGGACGGCTGAGTTAGGGGCTGCACGACAACATCTAGCAGTATCTTCAACAATCGCGGGTGCAACCTATTCGGCTCAGCCGATTCGTTCCCATCGACACCATAACATCGGTATTCAACACCGAAGTTTTGCTGCCGTACAACCATGGTTTAGCCCTTTCTTGAGGGCAAGAGAAAAGAAAAAAATTGGGTTGAGAGAGCAGTTCAGTCCTCACTTTATTGGCCGTTATATCAAGAACCTGCATACTTAATCCTGATACAATCGATCAGCTGTAGCATCTTTTCGGTGCCCAACTGCCACACCACCAGAAGGAAGCACGGAGGCTGGAATATTGCCAGGTTTCCAAAACCTAGACAGGGTTGGATTCGAACCAAGGACCTTCCGGTCAGTAAAGTAACTCCCTAAACCAGTGAGCACTCTCGCCCCCAGGTACAATACTACATGTTGGGGGCTTCAGGAGTGTTTTAAGGGATGGCTGAACCGAAGTACTCTAACAGTTTCTGTGCCGCTTCATTGGCCACAGTAGCTTCATTTATCCTCTTCGAGTATCCGCGTAGCCTAGCCCGAAATCGCATATCTCCTAAGGGCCTTTTCGGTTGTCTGAAGTCCGTTTCGATGGAAGTCTTTATTGCGCCAGTCCTGACGGCAGCCAAGACTTATACACAATTAAGACAGGATGATACGGGCCTCGAGCAAATTTAACCCGTCTTTCTTCGTCTCTGGAGGCTTTATTGGCCACTTCCTTTGACTATACTGTACATAATTCCAGTTTTGTTTTGAGGCGATCTCGTCGAATGCATTCTGAAGACCCATGGAATTTGCGTGTGTGAACTTCATTGGTTTGATTTCCAGAAAACCCTGTTCCCCACAAGCTGATCCGCGGGTGAATAAAGAGATCACTATTTTTGACCCTATAGTTGCTGCCCATGTAACACATGTAACTCCTAGAGCGGGCTGTTCCGGAGCGGCTTAGGTCACCTACATGGGTCGTTCCAGAAATGGCTACTCCAGTACAGCCCAGGGAGCATTGCTCTGGGCAATATCATGTCTGCGGCTCGACTCTCCGCAGTTCGACTGCTACACGTACTCCATGGTTGTCCGTGGACTTGTGGAGAGGTTGACGTCCTGCTCCCTGCGCGCGCGCGAATCTGTGTGTGTTGACTGGGTTTGGTTTCTCTTTATGTAGGTCCCCGTGCGTATACGTGGGCGCGTCGGCACATGAGTGGTTCCTACGCTGACTAGGCGGTGCAGACAATCGATGTCCGATGAGTCAGCTTAATGCGACGTGTTTGTGCGTATGACAAAAAACACAAGCCTCGCGATCCAGTGAGCTGCTGAGTTGAACTGGGTGACTGGTTCGCTACATGACCGCTGCAAGCGCGAGCGAAAGCAGAAGAGAGAGTCGAAGCACGTGACCACGCTTGTATTATGTGAAATTGCAAATGTGCGCGTTTTTGTAGTTTTCCGTATTCAAACAGAAAACGATTATGCAATTGATGAAATACGAAGTGTTATAATGGAAGTAAAACAAAAGTACGAAATGCCACATGACCGTCATAGCCGTGTCGTGCTTCAGGTTGATGAGGCGTTGGTATTCAGTGGTGAGTCTCTGCAACGTCACTTCGGCATCCTGTTCAATTCTGTTAGGAAGCCGGTTTCTGATGTAAGCATCCTGGGATGACTGGAGACCGGATACAAAAATGAGGCACTTGACCCGCTTCTCTGTCATTGAGCTGAGCTTGAAGCGCTCGCATTCTCGATTGACAACACCGGCAAAAGTGATGAAATCATCATAATCTTTCTTGACCAACTTTAGGCATTGGTAGCGGATACTGAACAGTGATGTTTGATTGCCGAATATCTGGGGAAGTGTTCCGACCGTTTCATCAAAGCTGAAGACGCGGGGCAGCTTGGGGAGAATAAAATTTGTGAACCGTTCACGCTCCTGTGTGCCGAGTTTTCGCAGAAATAATCTGACGTTCCATCCACCACCAAATTTGGAAAAAATCAGTCTTGAACAATTCTTCGTACCGCTTGAACCAGGAGTCACAAGTGTGACCAGAAAGAGGGTTGAATGTGAAATCCGTAATTGAGGCCGCGGCTGCATCAGTTGAGGAAATATAAGACTCACCAGTACTGACTGCTGCTGTCTGGATATGCAGTTTCTGAGCCAGTGATTCATTGAGCTTCAGTTGCGTTTCTTCGAACTGCTGTTGTTGCTGCTGCAATAGTGCTCGGAGGGAAACCTATGGCACCGGTGTGACGTCAGTTGTATGTCAAGGGCACAGTGCACAATGGTGGTGCAGTTCCTGCTGCTTTACGGATCAGAAACGTGGTCTCTGAGCGCAGAGGGCGTACAAAAACTCGCTATTTCATCTGTCTAGGAAGCTGACGGCGTGTAAGTTATGCTGCCTTATCCCATCAGATCTTCCTACTCGGGTACGGGGGCGAAATGTCTCAAGTGGACACAGCGTGAATTACTGACCAGAAGGTCCGTGGTTCGAATCCCACTTTTGCCTCTTGACTTCCCCTGTCCAGACTTGGACAACCTGGCAGTATCTCAGCCCTCGCGTTTCCTTCGGGTCGCATGGCAGCTAGGCACCGAAAGGGTGTTACAGCTGAACGAAGAAGAAAACTCAGGTACAAGCATTGCATCCGAGTATGCTGGAGACCACTGCGTTTTGTTTAAAATCCGGCGTTCATCAAAGCTGCCCACTTCAGCCGATTTTTCATGTATTGCGATTAATTCGATTATGTCGTGCGTCCTCAGTAGCTTTCGTGGAGTACCAAAGGGGCTCATCAAGTGGATCACAGACCTTGATTACGATTATTATAGGTAAGTAAATATATGACAAATTTTGCCTATCTTTGATCGTATCGGTCACCATGCCTCACCTGTTGGTCTGGAAAGGAATCTCGAATAAACGAAATCCTTCACCACAAGCATGGTTATCCAGTCTATCCGGCTTAATATTAAGCGAGAGCCCACAAACCAGTTTGATTCCATTTGGTATTTGGGCTCCACCATCATACAAGATAGTCAGGCACGGTAAGCAATGAACTTTCAAATGGACGGCCCCAGGAAGACATTTCTGCTTCTTCCCACCACGTTAAAAGTACTTTCATAAATCAGCGATTAACCAAAGCTTGAGTGTACGACACAGCTGTTCGATCCTTACTAGCATACGCCTGTCATACCTGTCCTCCCGATCCTCGAAGGCCCGAAGCATTCGACCGCTGAGGCTAAATGTAGTAACGGTATTTTCCTCAGCCTAGTTCTCGTTCTGAGCCTCCCAAGCTAGCCTTCACGTCAAAACAACCACCAAAGGTACACAAGGTCTATTAACGCCCAAAACGAAGCCAAGAACAGTTGTACAGCGCTTCGTATATATAGCGTAAGCGGTTATAACATTGTGGAATTTTTGACGCGTTCTGGATGCGCCATTGGCAACCGGCATTTGGCCAATACTGGGTCATGATTGGCTTTTGGGTCCAGATCGTTGGCCAATCAGATCTCGTCCTGACCCCTGACCGGAAGCGTCCCAAATTCTGGGCCAACCTCATGCGGGCCAGGCTTATCGACCGTAGCAGCGCTTAAAGACGTGCGGTATAGCGGGATCCGTGTAGATTCCTGCCTAACACTTAAGCAGAATACGGGAACGGGAAGATACCTAGTGATGGTGTCAGGAACCACTTCTATGGCATTTTGCGTCCCCGAGTCGATCCAGCGATGCAGGTTGTAGTGGCTGGGTCACCCTGAATTGTTCAAACTCTCCGTGGCAATCCTCCCGCTCAGTATACCGCTTTCGCACCGGTGGACAACTAGAGACTTGGCTTTCCATGGGTAGAGTGAAGGTCTGTAAACATCCTACGGGTTCAAGGAATGCAACTGAGAGTAGATGACTGTCTGGACCATTCTGCCAACAGTTTTGCGTGGGCACACGCGGTCCGAAGCCGGCTCATCATTCCCCACGAGAAAGTCGCCGTCAAGTGGAAGTTGTACCACATGTACATTTCCAGCCAAGTGTTCGCATGCTAACTTCAAAGTCATGATTCGCCTATAATAAGCGTGAAAGGCCGTTTTTTGGAATTAGGGCTAGATTTCGGATGTGGGCGTCGGGGAAGGCAAATCAAAAAGCTAGAGTCAAGAGCGTAAATGCAATTGAAACAGGCCAATTAGCACGCGTCCGCTCCTGGGTGCAGAACCTGCGCGGAATCTGTGAAGAACTTCTGCACTTATTTCTGGCTTTCAAGCCGCGGAAGATTGAGGCGTTTAATATGCATCAAGGCTTCTTTATTTGTCTTACAGTAATAAAAAACCACAATACTCTGCATTTCCGAGTGCCTACGAAATGCAAACTGTTGACCCAGTTGATTTATTTACTCGAGCGTTTTCCCTTTTCACGGTCAACGCTCTAGTGGGGGAGTAGTGTGGCGTTTTGTACCTTTGATTTACTTCCATTATAACACTTCGTATTTCATCAATTGCATAATCGTTTTCTGTTTGAGTACGGAAAACTACAAAAACGCGCACATTTACAATTTCACATAATACAATCGCGGTCACGTG